CTATAATATTATATTCTTGTAATTCCTTTAGTATAATAATTTAGTACACAGAAAATAAAAATATTAAAAATACTTAAATATTTACATTAATATTATGTATATAAGTAGTATTTTTATTTGTAAATTTTTCTACACATTGTTATAAATTAATTTATGACTATTTAACTATTTATAAATATATATAGATACTAAATTTTTTACAGGCTTGTATGAAAATTTAAATGAAAATGATCCTGTAAGATTTTCTGATATGAACAAGAAATTTACATTTGAACAAAAGCAGTATATTTTAAAATTAGGACCTTGCCAACCAAGTGCTCAAGAGATGCCTTTCCATAAATTTCCAAAAACCAATAACCTTAGTTTTCATGCCAAATGGTATACCAAAACATTACCCGATGGATCTGTAGGAACTCGTAAATGGTTGTCATATTCTATATCAAAAGACAAAATATATTGCTTATATTGTATATTATTTGGGAAATATCCTAAAAAAGCATGGACTAATTATGGTGTTTCTCGCTGGAAAGATGGAGTCTTTATGTTAGCTTCACACGAAACTTCAGTAACACACATTGCCGCTTCAATTGATGCAACAATTCAGGAACAGTGTTCCCCGTTGTTACCAGCATTGAAAGAGAAAAAAAAAATTGAAGTTCAAACCAATAGGATTATTGTAAAACAACTCGTGGACATAACATTATTTTTAGGAAAACATGGATTAGCATTTAGGGGACACAACGAAAAATGGTCTGATGCTGTTAGAGGAAACTTCAAAGATCTCGTTATTTTGCTAGCCGAGTATTCGCCAGTTTTGTCCTCATATATAACCCAATTAAAAGAAAAAGGAAAACATATGACATCTTTTATTACTTGGCAACGACAGAACCAACTTATTGATTCAATCTCAAATTCAATTTTAAAATCAATTGTACAAGAAGTGAATACTGCTAGAATATTTAGTATATCAATAGATACAACATTCGATATATCAAGGCATGAACAAGTATCTTTTGTAATTCGATATACCGATGAAAGCAAAGGTAAAATTGTTGAACGTTTACTTATGATCTGTACTACTTCATCCACTAATAGTCAGACCCTTTATAGTATTTTTCTTAATATTTTTGAGAAAACCAATATTGATTGGAAAAATAATTTGATAGGTCAATCCTATGACGGCGCAGCTAATATGCGAGGCGAATACAACGGTCTACAAGCAAAAATTAAAAGTGAAAATAATCAAGCTATTTATATCTGGTGTTGGGCACATCGTTTAAATTTAATTGTTGAACAAGGTATTAAAAGCTGTCTTGAAGCTGTTGATTTTTTTGGGATTTTGGCCAAAGTATATGATTTTATATGTAGTAGCAAAAATCGTGTATTTGTTTTTGAACAAAATCAAAAAGAACGTAATCCTACATGGCCAGTTCGTAGTTTGAAGCGTGTTACTACTACACGATGGAGTAGTCACTCTACAGCATTAAATACAATTTTAATCACATGGGAAGCTTTAATTGATACACTTGAAGATCTTCATAAATCTGAATCTTCATCTGACGCATCAACATTTATTGAATATTTTCAGACTGAACGATTTTTGTACACTTGTTTTGTATTTAAAAGAATATTTGGTTTATTAGATCCATTAAGTAAAATACTTCAAGCTATAGATACAGATCTTATCATAGCGTCAGAAATGATTATATCTAAGAAAAATCAGTTGTTGAAACTGCGAGATGAATTTGATTCAATTATTTTTGAGGTAAACAAATTTATTGAGGTTCACAGTGAAGAAAATTTCACTTTTACTCCTTTACCCCAAAAACGTCATAGGAAGAGAAAACGTATGCCGGGTGAACAAGCATCGGATGAGCCAACAACTGATCCTCTTAATAATTTTAAGTATCACACATTTTATATTGTAATTGACATTATAAGTAATGAGATTGACAAGAAATTTAGTGAATCATCATTATCAGTTTTTAAAGATTTATCACTTATAACAAAAAAAAGAATTTTAGAAATAAAAACTGATAATCATAAAATGACAAATGATGCATTTGAAAGTATATCTTTAATTTATCCAAACTTTTTAAATGCTGAATTATTAAAAACTGAATTCATGTGGCTTGTAAATTGTTTTTCTGATTTAGAAAAAACTTATCATTTACCTGAAAGCCTTCATAAGACTTATCTAATATCTGATTATGGCGACAATAATGATGTTGAATCTAGTTCTGGAGATGAAGAAGAATCTATAATATTACCTAGAAACTCCATGAATATTAGCTCACTATTATATATATTTCAGTTGTTTACTGATTCAAGTATAAAAGATGTATTACCAAATATTTATATGTTAATTAAAATTGGAGTCACATTGCCAGTTTCAAGTGCTTCTACAGAACGAAGTTTTTCAAAATTAAAACTAATTAAAACAAGATTACGTTCGACAATGGCAGAGCCAAGATTAGAAGGATTGATGCGCATAGCATGTGAACAAGATATACCAATAGACAAAGAAAATGTAATAAATACATTCGCAAATAACAGTAATCAATTAATGAATTTGTTAATTTAGAATTTATATGAATATATGATATAGGTAATATTTAGTAAACCTAATACATATTATATTATTATTACTATTGTTATTTTTATTTATTGATCTATTTTAGTATATTAAGTATACATTTATGTTTGTACATTATATTTTTATTTCGAAAATTATACTATGTAATTCAAGTTGAATTTATTCAGATAGATATTCTCTAATTTTTTAGTTATTATTTAAAATGTAAAATCATTGATTTTGACAGGAAAATTTCATATGCTTATAAGTATAACATATTATTTTTATAGTTTAAGAAACTAATTATTATAATATAATGTTATCGTTCATTTTTCTGATGCTTATGTGTATTGTATTGTATTGTTGATACAACAGTACTAGTATGTATTAATTACGTTTAAAAAAATATAGTTTGTATATAATTAGAAATAAATAAAGTACTATTTGAGAGTAACTAACTATTTACATTTTAGTAGGTCGTAGGTGGGTGGGTGGGTCTAACACTAGTATTTTTTCCCCATAACATGAAATATAGATCGGCGCCACTGGGCATCACTAAAGCATTTGAATTTGATGGATCGGTTATTGATATATCAGGTGAACTGCTAATTGAGCCTTTTTCAGCGACACCGGGTGGATAAAAATTGGGATCAGCATCAGAATCATCAATAATTGAAATATTAGAATCATAAGAACCGTCATCTTCATCTAACAACTGATTTACATTTATTTCTTCTCATGAATTCATTTTAATGTAAACTTGTAAACACTCATCACTCAACGCACTATAATATCATACTTCAATGGCGATCGTGTACGTACTAATATAATAAATATAACGTATAGAATATGTACCTACTATGTTGTTAATCAAATAAGAAAAACACAACAGTTATCGATATATAAATTATAACTAATCAATAAAAGAATAAAAATGGAAAATACGTGTGTAGATTACAAATACGTGTATAAACAGGCTAAAAATAGAGTGCCCAATGGCCCTATGAGATGTCCGGGGTCAGAACAACTCCCTCTTTCATAAGGGACCATTGAAAATATCACTGCTATAGCAGTAATGACACATTTTGGATGGTTTGTATATTACTGCTATAGCAGTAATTTTGAAAAATGACCCCCGACATCAACTATTCATATTACTGCTATAGCAGTAATATTTAGCAACTGTCCATCAACGTGTTAAAAATGTCTAACTAAAGAATGTTTGTATATTAAATAATAATGTATAATATGTCATATGGAATAGTCTATCTCTATACTCTAACAGTCTAACCTCTAAACTTCTATAATATATTGTGTTCTTATACTGCTTATAAATAATATTTGAACGTCGTTGTCCGTTGATAAAAATACTAATTGGTTATGAAGGTCCGCGATAGCGTGAACTTAAGAGAAACGACCGTCGATAACGATAAGCATATGAGTAACATAGGTACTAGTACTATTCATAAATAATATTTGTGTGTCGTTAATAAAAATACTGATTGGTCTTGGCCGTCCGCGATAGCTTTAATTTCTGAAAAACAGATAAACGAATAAAATAACGTTTCAACGTTTCAATACAACGCGACAGTCTACCGCGTGTCTTGTGACCTGTGCGTTATATTCGAGTGCGTTGTGTTATAATTTTATTGTTTGTCTCAAAGTTGGTTTTGTTATTTTATTTGCAATATGGAGAGATGGCTTAAAAAAGGAACTCTAAAACGTTCCTCTCAAGAACCTGAATATTTTGCGGTGAACTCAAGTCATATTGATAACCATAGTAATAATGAGAATGATACAAATGAAATCACCCCAAAATATTTTAAAAAATGTAGAAAGTATGATGAAAGTTACATATCATTAGGATTTATGAATAATAATGATAATCCTCAGTGCGTTATTTGCAGTAAAGTTCTCCCAAATAGCTCTATGGCTCCAGCTAAAATGCGTCGTCATTTAGAATGTGTTCACGGTGAACTTAAAGAAAAAAATGTAGAATTCTTTATTCGAAAGCGTGACGAACTATTAAAATCAATAAACTGTATGGTTCAAACCACAAAAACTGTGAATGAAAAAGCAACCGAAGCTTCTTATTTAGTTAGCTATCAGATAGCTCAACGCGGTGAAGCTTACACAATTGCCGAAAGTCTTATAAAACCTTGTGCTATGGAGATGGTAAAATGTATGTTAGATGAAAAATCTGCAAAAGAAATATCTAAAATCCCACTATCGAATGACACGGTAGCTAATCGTATCAAAGATTTAGCAGCCGATATACAGAATGAACTTATTTTTCGTCTCAAATTGTGCAAATTTGCATTACAAATGGATGAGTCTACCGATGTAGCTGGGCTTGCAATATTAATTGTCATCGTTAGGTATCAACACGAAAGCACATTATTGGAAGATCTTCTTTTATGCAAATCTCTACCAACACGTACTACTGGAGCTGAAATATTTGATCTTCTAAATTCATTTCTTGAAGGAAATGAAATACCATGGGAAAACTGCGTTGATATCTGTACCGATGGAGCAAAGGCTATGAGTGGTATAATTAATGGAGCTGTACAGCGTATTAAAAATATTGCAAAACACTGTTCTAGTAGCCACTGTATGATACATAGACAGGCACTCGCTGCAAAAAAGTTATCTGTTAGTTTTAAGAAAGCTCTTGATGAAGTCGTAAAAATCATAAACTTCATAAAATCTCGGCCTCTTCAAAATCGTTTATTCAAAATCCTATGTGAGGACATGGGAAGTGCACATACTTCTCTTCTCTTACATACCGAGGTCAGGTGGTTATCTCGAGGAAAGATACTAACTCGTATTTTTGAATTAAGGGACGAGGTACGTGCTTTTTTTTTGGAACACAATTTCGAATTAAAAGATCGATTTCTTGATCAAATGTGGCTACTTAAAGTCGCCTATTTAAGTGATATTTTTACAAAGATCAATGAGCTTAATTTCACACTTCAAGGCAGACACGTTAATGTTTTTACTGCACACGAAAAAATTCATGCTTTTAAGAAAAAGTTAGATTTTTGGAAAATTTGTATGAGCTCCAACGAGTTTGATTGCTTTCCTACAATTAAATGCTTTTCGAAAGAGGAAGAGGTCGAAATTAATGAAGTTTTCATTGAGGAAATTATTCAGCACCTCACTGGATTGAGTGAAGGATTCAACCAGTATTTTCCAAATGACCAACAGGTGAAATATAAAAATGAACTGTGGATTAAAGATCCATTTATTGTCAATACACGACCTCCAGCAATGTCAGCAAAAGAATATGAAACCTTTATTGAATTTACATCTGATTCATCGCTGCAAGAAAAATTTAAATCAATGCCATTAGCAGAATTTTGGTGCAGTTCAAAAGATGAATATCCTCAATTGTCACAAAAGGCCGTGTTGGCACTTTTACCATTTGCAACCACGTATATGTGTGAAACGGGGTTCTCTACCTATATATCGACAAAAACAAAATACCGCAACAGACTTGATGCCGAACCTAATATGTTATTACAACTTTCATCAATAAAGCCCAATATTAAGAATATTTGTAATAATAAAAAGCAATTTCACGCATCTCATTAAGTAATTATTGTTAAAGTAAAATTATATACAATTTTTATTATTTTTATTATTTTTTTTAACATATTTTTTAATTAAGTACCTTTAACACAATATAAGTACATGAAATAATTATATTTTTTTTTGCAAATAATTCTAACAAAAAGCTTAAAACCTAGAAAACAAAGTAGGGGTTCCACGATAAAAGTGGACGTCAAAAAGGGTTCCACGGATAAAAAAGTTTAAGAAACGCTGCTCTATAATATTGTTACTTTTTTTTACGTACGCTATTATATTATTATTTTTCATTTATTCACGAAAAACATAAATTTTCATGTACACTATCTTGTATTGACTTAAAAAAAAAAAAAATGTCTAACAGACAGTTTGAAAGTGGAGCATCCAAAAGACGCAGAAAAAATATACAAAACAATGAATTAAAAAAATATAAAGGATTAATGAATAACTTTGTATTCATCAATTCAGGTAAATATACAATTTTCAATTTTATACAATCATACATTTTTCAATTTGTAGATATAATGAGCTAGTTTTTTTAAATTGCAAAATAAAGATCATAAATAGTAGATAGTTATTTTATCTCAATCAGTTTATTGCTGTAAATTAATTGAAATTTTAGGTAATTATTATCAATGTAATTTTCTTATTTATAGAAGTAGAACTGAAAGCACAAGATAACCCTGAAATTGTAGTTAATGAATCAATAAAACTCCAAGGTAATTAATTATTGTTTATGTTTTTATTAATTGTAGTTTTATATACCTAATATATTTAATATTTAAATGTTAGCTTAGGTAAACTATAAGTAAATCATAAAAATTATGATTATGATACTTCAGTTCATTCAGTTAGTTAAAAATAAAATAAACATACTAAAACTAAATCACACCAAATATTAACATTTTTCATGTAGGTTCTTTCAATTTTTTGTTTTTTTAATTTTTAATTTATTTATTTCTGATATAACATTCATATAATAACAAGTATATAATAAATAATTTTAAAAATAATAATTTTTTTTTAATAATAATAATTTGTAGGCCTGTGGAAAATTGCCGCACTTAATTATGGTAAAATAAAATTTAATTAAGTAGGTATGCAAAAAAAATTTTAATTATATTTTAAATACAAAAACATAATAATTAAAGTTGAAAAATATTAGAAAAAAAAAGGAATTATAAAATGTTTATACTTATATACATTCTAAATGTCTTACATACTAAATTATTTATTAAACGATTGGTTTACGTCAACATTTCGTTTTTGCAAATGCGTCAATTAAATCCTCGCAATTTAATTCTTGTAACATTTCATTTTCTATTGAGAATAATGCTAAGCTGTTTAACTTCTCATAAGTTTGAGTGGACCTTAAGTAGTTTTTTACACGTTTGAGGCATGAAAACGATCTCTCGGTAGTACAATTGGACACTGGTACATTTACGAAAATTCTTAATGGAGTGTCAACATTTGGAAATATTTCAATATGTAAAGATTTTTCTCTCAAATACTGACACAGTGTGATTGGAGTTAAACTATCGATGTCAATATCCATATTACTATTCAGTAAATAAGATTACAAATGTAAGCATTCTGACGAAAAAGTATTATCCAAATCATTCGGGTACATTTTTTGTAATTTCTCAGCGGACTCAACAATTTTCAAAGAATTTAAAGATGTAATTTTTAGTAGTACTTTGAATAAATCACAAAACGTTTTGTAGGACTGGTGTCTTTTTTCAAGTTGAAAAAATTGGATTATACTATTATTGTCAATTGTTATAAATATGTACTGAAGACGCTCACTGGCCGCTCCGCCGCGGCGTGAATATTCAAAATAGACGGCACGCGGCTGTAAGAAACTATAAAAATAATAAATTCGAATTCTATTTTAAACCAATTCCATTGTTTTCAATAATTTAAAATAATCTTGTAGGCTGTTGTAGTTATTAGAGTATTTTACAATAACAGACAACGATTTAATAAGTCTTACCAAGTCAATATACAATGCCATCATTATCAAAAAAAAAAAAATCCCTTGAAAAATATGCCACCCCTCAAAATTTGCCGCTGTAGGCACGTGCCTATAGTGCCTGCATATAAATACGCCACTGCTTTTAAGCAAGCTTGTGGTTATTTAAATATATAAAATTAAATTAAATGTAATAACACATTTTTGTAAATACAATAGACAATTATAGTGTTTTGTGTCTTAAATTGATACCTACATATGAAGTTGTTGTACTAAGAATAAATTATACATTATAAATTAAGGAAAACTTTGAATACAATAAACTTTTTTGTATTAAATAAATCACAAACAGGAGTTAGATATATAGTTCAATCAAAATATAGTTAAAAATTAACTGAAATTTTAGGTAATTATAATTTATAAATGTAATTTTTTTATTTTTAGAAGAAGAACAAAAGGTACATGATCAACCTGATATTATAATTATTACTAATGAGGAAAATGTTTGCCAATCAAAAAATACTCAAAGTAGTGTACTAATTTTTTGATTATTTTTTTTTTAAATATATAAATTAGTATATTTTATTTAGGCAGTGTTGAGCAAAAAGTTGAAAGTAATCATGAAAATATAGAAATTGTTAATGAGTTATATGAACATGTAAACCAAATTAATAAAAATGAATCAATGGAAATCCAAGGTAATTTATTGTTTATATTTTTATTAATTGTAGTTTAAATATAATTTAATAAAATAAATGTGATCCTGCTTTATAAATCATAACATTTATGATTGTGATATTTCAGTAAATTAAAATAATAAATAATAAACAAACATACTAAAACTAAGTAACAAGAAGAATCAAGAAGTATTTACATTTTATTATGTATTGGTTCTTACTTTTTTTCAAACAAAAGTGTTAAATTCTTTACAATAAACATTTTAGTATTGAATACAATAATAAAAAAACCATTAGTGATAGGTACCTTCAGTATTATTTTGAATTTAATGGTTTAATTTAATTTATTCAGGTCTGAACTTACTTCATGATTATCCAACTGATCAAGCACATTTTCTTGGAATAACATTAACAAGTGTAATCAAAAGATCTATTATAGAATATGGACCATGTAGACCAAAAATTGAATTTCCTCGCAATGAAGACAAAAGAAAATTTTCAGTAGAATATTATTATTTATCATCAAAATCTGGTAATCGTATTCCTCGTACATGGCTTTGCTATTCACCTATCCTAAATTATGTTTATTGTGAATCATGCTGGCTTTTTGCTGACAGACAATATATAAATTATGTCTGAATAGATTAATGGAATAGATAACTGGCAACATCTTTCTCAAAAAATATTTAAACATGAAAGTTCAATTCAACATATTGAATCTGTAAAAATTCGATCTCTGTGGACAAAGAATAAAGTTTTAGATAGTCAACTAGAAAATCAAGTATCGGAAGAGGCTGCATTCTGGAGAAGTGTACTGGAAAGAATTATAATGATAATTTTACATTTAACTAGTGGAAATACTGCTCTTCGAGGAAATGAAGGTAAATTTAGCTCAAAAAATCAATTTTCCGAAGGTAATTTTTTACAAACCGTTAGATTAGTTGCAAATTATGATCCCATATTGAGCAAACTTATTAATTGTGAGAAAAGCAAAATCAAGTATCTGAGTCACACAATAGTTGATGAATTAATTGGAATTTTATCTTCTGATCTACTCAAAACTATTTGTAATGAAATAAAGTTATGCCAATGTTTTTCCATTATAATGGATTCTACTTTAGATATAACTAAACTGGATCAGCTGAGTGTTATTATTCGGTATACTGTCATAAATTTTGAAGAGAAAAAACTAGAAGTTAAGGAGTCATTTGTAGGTTTTTTTGAGTTAAAACACCACGGAGCTGCTGATTATACACAGATGATATGTGAAATTCTATCAAAACTTGACTTGGATATTAACAGATGCCGTGGACAAGGTTATGATGGGGCATCAGTGATGAGCGGAGTCCATTCTGGTGTTCAAACTAGAATAAAAGAACTTGTTCCATCAGCTTCATATATCCATTGTTGTAGTCACAATCTTAATTTAGTAATATCTGATGCAGCCAAATGTCATAGTAAAGTATTGAATTTTTTTGACACAGTTCAAGCAATTTTTAATTTTTTTGCTAGTAGTGCGCCAAGATGGGCTCTTATAGCATTTGGACATGATATTTCTATTAAAATCCGTACAAAAGTTCTAAAAAAAGTGTGCCCTACTAGGTGGGAAGCTCGACATGATGCAATATTTTCCTTGAAAGAACGTTATATAGATGTACTTAAATCGCTGACTTACATTATTCTTACTAGTAATAAAACATCAGAAAAAACATTAGCCAGTGGATTAAAAAAAAAGTTGGAAACATTTGAATTTATTTTGATTCTATGTATGTGGGAACCAATTCTACGTTCTTTGCGTATTGTATCAAAACGGCTACAAAATATAAATATGGATTTGGAAGCAGCTTCAAACATGATACAGATGGCTGTGACATCAACTCAAGATATCAGAGACAACTACCAGCATATTTTAATTATTGCAAAAGAATTATGTAAAAAATGGAATATACCAGTCACATATCCCAATGAACGTAAAAAACAAGCTGTAAAATATTTTGATGAAATAGATGGTGATCGTAGACTTAACACTAATGAAGATAATTTTAAAGTTAAACATTTTTTTCCCCGTTATGGACTCTGTTTTATCACAATTTGTAGCTCGATTTAAAGGAACAAATGAGGTAGTTCAAACTTTTTCATTTTTAAATCCTACTTCATTTGTATCAAAAACTGAAAAAGAAGTTGTCAATGCATCATATGACTTCATATTAAAGTATAGTAATGATATCAGCACAGATTTTACCCGACAATTATTAAGTTTAAGAACTAGTTTACAAAAACATCAACTTAAAACTATTAAGAACTTGGCCATTTAAATTGTTGAAAATGATTTATCCATTATATTTCCAGATGTTTTAAGCGCATGTGTAATATTTATAATAATACCTATTACTGTTGCAGAAGCGGAGCGTTCTTTTTCTAAATTAAAAAATAATAAAAAACTATTTGAGAAACTCAATGAGTCAAAATAGACTAAGTAATATTGCAGTATTAAACATAGAAAGAGAAAGAACAAATGAAATAAATATATCACAAATAATTAATAACTTTGCTAATATTAAATCAAGAAAAAAAAACTTTTTGAAATAAATGTATTTAAGTATTAAAAAGTATTTATAATATTGTTCATTTTTATTTTTGATCTATTTCAAACTTTTTATATTTGTTTCCTTTCTATTTTAGCACAATGTTAAGAATACAGTCATTACTCATTATTATATTAATTATTAATGATTTCGATTGACTCGATTTATGTTATACTAGTATATATTAATACTTCATATCTAAGAGGTATAGCTGTATAAGTATGGAAATAGTGAGTGTAATGTGTATTTCATAACTTACGACCTAACAATTAAGGTAGGTACTAATATTTCATGATTTTAGGTTATTTAATATTTCAATATGTATTTAATAAATAGTGCTATGTCGAAAATTTTTTTTTTAAGGGGCCTCAAATAGGTAGTCGCACCCAGGCCTCCTGAGACTTAGATCCGGCACTGTCCAGCGTATTAAGTTTCAATAACAAATCTAATTATTATATACTTAATAGTGAAAAGGCGTTATGCGATTTTTATTATATTGTATCATTATATTTATCATATATTTATTTGTATAAACATCGTATATACATATTTACACCTTTTTTCGCCGTGTAGGAACTTACATATTATGTACCTGGTCTTTACCGTGTAGGAACATACATACGTGATACCGATATGTACCTGCTTCTTACTGTGTAGGAACTTACATATGTCCGTGTAGGAACTAACATATTATGTAATTGTTTACCTGCTTCTCTCGTGTTGGAACTTACTATTCCCCGTGTTGGGATCAGTTTTTCAATTTTTAAAAAAGTGATGTTTTACATTTTTGATTTTTAATAACCATTAAACATTTTCGATGTTTAAAAAATCTTAAATTTCAAGTTTTTGGCAAATCAAACATATACATATTGATATTGTCTAATTCGATACGAGAATTCAATTAATATTAATATTTTTAACAAAAATCTTGCCGTTCCTCAGAAAAACTGCTCGCTAGTTAGATTTTAAAAATTTTTATTTGCTTTTTTTAAGTTCATATTTGGATGAAATTACATATTAAATCAAGAATAACGATTCTAGCTATTTTGCTATAATTTAAAAATATTATTCATGGGTATATGAAACCTTTAGTGTATATTCTATTTTATTCACACAATGACATTTTCAAATGTTGTTATGCCTAAAAGTAAAATAAATTACTTTAATCACAATGATATCAATATATCATCAAATATTAATAATATTGGCTGAGGGCAAATAAGCTCAGTATCGTTTTTCGTATACAATGATTTTCATCCAAGAATCAGCCATAACAAACACAGAATTCAGTAATCCAGGTGATAATATTGGTATAGATACCTACAGTTGTCAGTTAATAGTAATTACTAGAACAAGTTTCTGAGATACTTTCAAAATATAGTTTAAGACTTAAGTATAATAATTCATTGTAAATATACACATATATATTATATTTTTTGTATGTATACACTATACATAGTACATGCAATAACTAAATAAATAAAACTAAGGTCACTTAATTTTGTTATTTTCTTTTTTGAAGCATTAGTATCTCTTTTTGTTATAACAAACTTTCCATTTATATTTCATGTTTATCAGCCATAATTTCAACTTCTAATTTATTCTTTTTTTACATTAAAACCGTGTTTAATTTAAGTTTGCCTTAAATGCAACTTGTTGTCTGGTTAACAATGCTTGTGTAGATACCCAACTTGGATTTTATATTGATATGCTTTATATTTTTTTTGTAACAATCACATCTAAAAAACATTAAAGAATATTCAAATTATATTACATTAAAATTATTCAAGTCTAATGGGAAACATATGTGTAAAAGAATGTATGGAAATATACAGGGATGCCTGTGACTAGGTAGTGATAACGCACAAACGAAAAATAATAATGAATTATATTTTATAAATTACCGAAAATTCACTAAAAAAATTTAAAATAATGCATACATACAATTTGAAAATAGGTTGTTATAATATATCATTGACATTTATATTAATATATATTCAATACATTAAATTGTAAAAATACAACTTTTTCTCTGGATTTGTTTTACTAATCTGACATTACATTTTTGATAAATGATCAGGTAATTATAAACTACCTACCTGTCGCGGTCGTTATCGCAACGACCGCGGCGTCTCCATCGACGTCCGCGAGATCGCGACCGAGAACCGGTCTGGCCGTCGCCGGCGGCACGGGCCGCCGGCGGCGGCTAGCGACGGCGGGNTTATATCAACAAGTAATTATTGTAAACTTATGACAGAATAAGTACGAAATACAATTTTGTAGTAAATGTCCTAAGATATGAAGGGAATTGTATTAATTCAACTAATAAATGTATACTTTGCATACGAGGCCATTATAGGGAAGCTATGGTTTCCCATTTCAAGTTTATATCTCCACGGAAAAACATTTTTTTTGCTATACACATTTTTTTTTTGACCTTACATAAGTCATATTAATGCCAATAATCGAACATCATTTTACCATTATTACCACATATCGCTAAGTTCGTTTCTTTTCTATGCTTATGACATACCTGCATATTGTGCTATACTATCGAAAGAGTAATTGCGGCTCATTATTGTAATAAAATAAAATCACCTACTGTCCAAGTCAAATAAAACAATGGACTCGAGAACGTTTATCACACTAAACGCAATAGGCACTGCGTTATAACGATTTTGTAATCGATTTCACACCTATAAGAAGAAAATAAAATTATGGTCTGTAATACCAAATGGTCGAATTTAATTCATATTTTATAATATTGTTAAAAAACAAAATTTGTAGTACCTACTAATACCTATTAAAATTTGGTATGGCCGAGTATTTATTTCAATGTATTTTTGAATAGTGTATAGTCTATAACTTTCTAACAATTTATTACTTAAAAATTATAAATGACTATTGGTTACAGTTACCCTTACTGATTACGGTTTTTTTTATTGGTTTTAAACGTGGAAAAAAATAAAATCCCACGGCTCTAAAACGTTGTCCGATAAACAACACGACGAGAGCGCATATCCATATAATACGGATTGATCCATTTGACTAGCTACAATTATTTTATAAGTGAATTTTGAAAGTGAAATAGAGCGGTGTACGTATGCAACGCACGGAACATCGAACAGTATTACAGATGACGTGTATACAAAAAAAAAATGGTGTAGTTAACCTTTTAAATTCTCAAGTAAAGGAAAAAGTAAACGTGATTAACAATAGTATTATAACAAACGTAAATATTTTTACCAGTGATGGAGACCACACGATTTTATGACGTACAATAATATATACTTATACAACTCGGAGACCACAAGTACCATATTATTATTGTTTACACCCTCACTCGTATAAACTTGTGCGTCTATATACAGGGTGATCAATCTGCATTCTACACTAATATTCTGTCAATATGTGTTTTGGAAAACAAATAAAACAAAAAACGTTCTTTTTTTTAGTTTGATGTAATTATTATAAACCTACTACCTACTTTTTTTATCAAAAAATACTTACTATACTTCACTCGTTGTGGATCTTTGGCTTTTATATTTATTAATAAAAAATGGCTATGAAAAAGGCCCGCAAAAGTTGTAGTCACGACCACTATTCCCGCTCGTCAAATCTTTGAACCCTCATTACTAGGTATTAATAATAATAGTAAAAAATAAACTATACACTGAATTTACGTAACAATAATTCTGTTTATGAAATTATTGATACGTCCCAGTGCAGTTCGTGACGTTGTCAGAAAAGAAAAACACCTCGTGAAAACTTGTGTTGTTGTAAAGTCCTAGGGATTATAAACGAGATCACGAAGACCGTACTGGATCGGATCACCCCGTACGGTTACACCAATTATTACGTTGCCGAGAAAACTCTGCAGCAGGTGTGCACACATATAATAATAATAATAATAATAATAATAACTGTGTGAGACACACAACGCTCCTATACGCCACCTGTTATTGTTGTGTATGACGATATAATAACGATGATACAATAAATACCTACCGTCGGGCCACCATCGCCTCGACCGCCGAGACCACTTGACTTGTACGCGGGACGAGTTGACCCTGCGCAGAGTCCCGTCACCAGTACAACGCATAATAATATATTATATATATATATATATCTAGGTACGTGTTACAGGTGTGTGTATTTGTGAGTGTGTGCGTGTGTGTGTATGCGTGCGTTGTGTTCGATTCCCTCATTATCGCTGGTTCAAGGTAAATCAATTTTGGATTTTCATTCTTTATAAATATAGAACATGACGCGCTGCACGTCCTTAGTCGGGTGTGAAACGGTCTTAATGCGATACCGCAGACACCGCAGCAGTGGATCTTCGACGGGATCGCTAGACCGAATCGACTATACCTATTATATTATGCGTTGTACTTACACTTACCCATATAAAATATATAGGTCCCGTATAATATGATGAAGTAGGCACACGTAGTTAAACACTTGTAATACGCATACCAATAATTATATAGGTACATTATTATGTATACTCAATCACGAATTCTCGCCGGTGTCCCAATGCAGGTAGCTACATCGTATAAAATAAACATATATAATAATATACAGGTCGCTTCGACACTCGTTTTTTTTTTCATTCAATTTCCGTGTTTTTTGAGGAAAAAATATCTTTTTCATAGAAATATTAATAGTACTTAACCTAACCTGCTAGAGCTAACCACAAAACACGGAACCGTTAAGTGCGTGTTTAGGAC